GGTCCCAAACATGCAGAAACTTTTGCATGATTTTTTGGTGTATGCATCCAGTGAACAACTTTTTTTGGAAAGTCGCCATCTTGGAACAGCATGTCCAGTTCCATTACTACTTCCATGCCATGATGTCTAACAGCTACAGCTTCAGAACAAAATGGAGTCAACAGTGAAGCTAACGTTCATTCACTAGAACAAATTTCTGTTTTGTCTGCTGTCCTTTCAACAAGAAAAAAGCTCTCTTCTCACATCAACATGTTTTCTATCAAAACCTGCCATCATATTCAAACAACCAGAGCTGTGGAAAAGTCCATTTGAGGAGACTAGGCTAGAATCCTCAAAACAAGTCTGGTTCATTTAGCCTAGCTTGCCAGCTTATTTGTGTTTGTAAGACCGTGCTTTGCACAAGTTCCAGTTTGATACCAGTTTTGGCAACTTTTCACTGCCACAGCCACTTGTGTTTGTCAGTTTTTTGTGCTGGCATGTAAATTTACATGCACTGTGTCTTGTCAAGACACAAAGCTGTAGTGACTAGGGTTGTAAAGATCTATCGCATAAAATCGTTGTTTGTGCACTTTGGATATGATATGTATGATATGATAATAAATACAACACAGGCAGAGCTGTCTTTTTTTAATAGGAAATCATCAATTGTTCAGTGAAAACAAATTAGCTCGACATTATGTTACCATGCAACAATTGAGGCAAGTTTGGTATGTGCTCAGACTGCTTTCCTGTCCATGCTGAGGACGTCTGAGAGAGATAGCTCATCTTTCGGATCAGCTTAATTTAGAAATTGATTTTTACATGTGGCCTTGAACATTTGAAATTTCCCTCTCAAAACCTTGTTAGAGGGGAAAAGGACTAGGGAGAATCAATTCAAATTAATTTCAGAGATGAGGTGTTTCTGTCTATTACTTTAAGCAACTCTCATTTTCAATAGATACATTGCCTGAGAGTCAGTCCTGGAAAAAAATGAAGTGAAAACATGATTGCTTTCTTCAACCCAAGAGGGAATGGAATAATTCACTGTCTGAGCTTACAGGGAGTTGCAGGAGCAGCTTAATGAAATGAAAACCTGCATCTTCTGGTGCATGATCAAGCTCGGGCACTGTGGAATTTGTTCAGACTAACACACAAACAATGGCCCATGCACACGCATCAATTACACACAGATGAACGTTATTGTACTGTATATACACTGAGGGAAAAGGGGAAGTGTTGCCTGTATTTAAAAACTCAGATGCCACAGGAATGAACTTATTACTTGCTGTAGGTGTTCTTTAAGGTTGTGCAGTTGTATTAGCCTTGTTAGTACTGACAGTTTAAATTACAGTCGTATGTTTAGCTGCCTCAGTCCATTTGTCTGCATGTGCTTCTTCTTTAACAAGTAGTGCTGAACATATGTCTCTGGAAAAGTGCCGGTTGTTTTTGTTCAGGGACTGCAAATCTTTTAAGACAAGGTTGGACAATGTGTCATTTAGAAAAAAATGGGCAAGTTGGACATCTTTTTTCGAGACGCCACCCTCAGAGGTAAGGTTGTTAGCGAGGGTTGGCTGTCAAAGTGCGCTTCCAGCCACCTGTTCAATGCATGTTTTCAATTCTGCATTATAAAACCTGAGCGGAAAAAAAAATCTGAGAGAAGGTTTAAATATCACATGTTTTTACATTTGGCTCAGGTTAAAAAATAAACAAAGCGCAATGGAAAATCAAATAAATCATGACATGCAAGACGCATGTGACTTAAACATCTCGCAGTGACTTGCAAGAAAACGAGATTGTCCTCTGGAGGGAGGACTGGCAGCTACGGGGGTGGGCGCATAGAGGTTAGCGCAGATGCTGCAGTATTAGATATATCAGAGCTGTAGAATATTTCTTCATTGAAAGAAGAAAAAAGAACGGCACTGAAGGCTTTTCTTGATGGAAAGGATGTTTTTTACTCTCGACTTACTTTGGTATAACAGTTATAAACAATAGATGAACCATCTATTCAATCATGTTTTTTTTAAGTGCTTTCCAACAACCACATATATGCTATATTTATATATATATATATCACATTTTTCACGTTTTTCAGCATCTGAGGTTTGACTGGTGCTCTTTCAATGACATCATGGGCCCAACTTTTCTGATTACCTGGAAATTTTGTTAAAATGTGTGCTTATTTCGAATTTAAACTTGACTATTGACAAGAAAAGCAGAAGTAATTCTTGGTACAGATCCATAGACAGACTACAGAACATGGTTAACAGAGTGATGGGTGAGATTCTGCAGCATGAAACAATCATGATGCTCAGAAAATTGACCTAAAGTATGGATTGTTGTCTTTTACTTCTGTTGAAATTGCAACCACGGCCCCAAGGTCAGTCAATCCATCAACAGCTCAGACAGGTAAGTTACAGCTCCAATAAAAGGATTCGCTCTGCTACAAAATACTATGAGGATGCTTTGTGTACAGAAATCATATATCTCATTTTGACACCCAGTGTCCATTTCCTGACAACTATGTTTCACCCTGAGTGTTTTTCAATCTCTGATCACCTTGATGACATCTATGATACCATGCCTTGGTGTCAAATAACACTGGGAAAACAGGCTGCATAATGATCCAATGAGCCAAAAAAAGCATTTCAGAGGAACAAAAGCTAATTGGAGGTAATATGACACCAGCTTCTGCTCAAGCGTAACATGGCAGGTGTACAAACGCTAACACACTCCCATCGCCGCTATCGCCTGCCAGGCCTGGCTGATTGACATTACGTTGTTTCCCAGTCCACAACAATGCCGGCAGGGTCCTTGTTATTCTGCATGCTCTCAAAGGGTCCTTCTGGTAGCCTATAAAGCACCATCAGGCTCCAGGCCCTGCAGTCATTCAATTAAGAATTTACTGGGCTATTGATTTCACCACAAGCGAAGTGTCTCACATCTTGGAAACAATGAGGAGCCTTTTACCAGCCTTTTACCTAAAGGGATGATGACTTGGACTTCAATGTGGAGAATGAAAGGACTAATGTATGATATACAGTGAACACATTCAAAAACCATTTGAATCCAGCTTTCTCCACATTCAGTGATTCAATTATCTAATGTAGCAGTACCTTTGTTTTTACTTTGACCTCTTAAATTAGAAAGCTTCATGAAAACATTAAAATATATATTTGTCATTTATATCACATTGAAGAAATGTCATTTCTTTTTAAACAAATTTCCATCCCTAAAGTCTGCGGTAAGGTCATTTTCTGGAGCTTTTATTTGGTACCCCCAATGCAGTCTCATACATTTTTGTGAAATTAACATAAACTCAAAGGAGAGGCGTGTGCATTGCTGTTTGCCACAATGGGGCATCAAAGTTGGACATTTTCAAAATGTAGCTTTAAAAATGGGCATTTAACAATGTGGCATAAAAATGCACAATTTGTCAAAAGGCATTCCTGACATATGGAGACACAAATTGCGTATTTTTGAATGCTAAATGCTCCACAATGTTTGCCAGCTGGTTGCAAGGTTTGTCACTGTGCTGTTTGGTGCTGGGCAGGTAGCTTACAGTTGGTTTATAAGAGCTTTTTTGCTGCAAAGAGGTGCCTGCTGCTATTGAAAAAGAAGTTGGATGGCCAAAACAGAAGACAATACACTGAAAGTTAAGGGGAATTGTAGATCAGGTGATTATTTGTCACAACGAGCAACGCCTTTCCCATAAAATGATCCAATTATTTATTATAGTCACTTTTATGTCATCACGTCGTCCTGAAGGTAGTTTTGAATAGGAAATCTTAAGGAAAACTCTAAATACACCATTTTGTTTTTTTTTCTTCTGCATTTACAGAATTTCAGTGTGCCATTAAAAGCAGGATTTCAACCTTTTACTGGCCTAAAATCCCCAGAACGCCAGCAAAGTGAGCCAAATTGCCATCCATTAAATCTCCCGAGACCCCCCAGCTGCATACAGAGCGACCCCATGTGGCATCCTGAAACCAAGGTTGATAAACTTTGGGTTTGGGGGCCAGCCTTGCCAAAAGTAGCTCCTCTTGATAGAAATCCTCCCTCAAGAATCATAGCATATGTGTTTATTATTCACTGCGGGGCTTGACAAAATACAACTGTTGATGCAACACGAGTTGAGCTGATTATGGGGCCAACTGAGACTATAATGAAAGCGAGAGGGGAGGAGCAGACAGGGAGAGTGAGTGTCAGCCGGAGAGTGCGAGCGGAGAAGGAGTTCGGGGAGAAAAGAGACAGAGAGCGGCAGAGAGTAAGTGCGGCCAGGGGAGAGTACATGTTGATGCTTAATGAATTCGGTCACAGAGCCGCACAATGAAATCTTTATCCGTGGGGGATGAGGCAGGGGACTTGGCAGAGCCCCGGCGTATCTCAGCAAGGGTGAAAAATAGAAATCCCACTGTCCCCGGTTGGCTCTCCCTCATGTCAGCTGCCTTGGTTACTGAGTTGGCTGCCAGCGAGCCCCCGCCACTCCAGACCTCCATCCCTCCTCCTGCTATTCCTCTTTTACTCTCTCTGTCTTTCTCAGTCCAACTCTCCTTCACACTCATGTATTTCTTTCTCTACCCCCCCACCCACCGCTCCCTCTAACTGTTTCTCCCACTGTCTCTTCCTCTGCTCCTTCAGATTTTTATCTTCTTTCTCTGCTCTGTTGCAGATCATCTTTTTGACACAAACTGTCCTCCTTTCAACACTCTGTTCTACTTTACATTGTTGCACCATTTTCATCATAGTTAAATAAAAGAAGTTAAAAATTGCTGCTTATTGAAAGTCAATAAATTATATTCATGATTGCTTCATGATAAACACATACATACATATATATAGGAGACACTCTGCAAGCATGCAAAGTCAGCATGTAACGACTTACCTTGTAACAGGTTGCTCTGGTCACTACGTCAAACCAATTTGGGATTTTACATGATTCCAGTTACAACCAGTTCAGGTGATGCGGTTCTAACAGATTCCCGTTAGCACAGAAATATTAAACAAATAAATCCAAATCCTACCTTTGAAAGCCCTCAGGAGTAGATTTTCAGTCAAACTTCTCTTCCTTTGCGGCCAGTGTCATTTACTGCAGTTTTCTCACTTTTTTAGTCTTCTATCCTAGACGTGCCAGCTTCTATTTCTCAGTCTTTCCAGTAGACGCTGATCAGTGGCTTTGTTTTAGTTTTTTTTTTTTTACAGAGAAGTCCAGCTGACCCCCGTGCAGAAGAGGGGGAAAAAAAACAGAGAGCAAGTGCTGGCACCTCCTGATCAACTCAGCTCCTTCCTCGCTGTTCCTTCCAGCGCTCAGGGTGAGAGAAGTGTGATACAAAGTAATCTTCAGGTGAAAAGACAGACTTCCTCCCTCCCTCCCTCCTATCCTCCTGCACTCTCTCTAGCTCTCTCTCTCTTTCTCCGCCTCTCCCTCTGCTGCCTGTGCTCTCTCTACCTGCTCAAAGCGTTGTGGACGAGCTCACACAGCAGCTGCCTCTCCAGCTCTCCCTCGTGTCTGAGCGCTGTGCTGTTGCTCCATCCATACCCCTCGTTTCTCTTCCTCTCTCTCTTTCTCTCTCTCTCCCTCCCTCCCTCCATCCCTCTACGGCTCATGAATGTTTAGACACGGCAATTGTAGCTGAAAGGCACTGAATTAACCCGCAGGACTCAAAATACACTCTTTCACTCCACTCACTTTTCCCCAGTTTTTCTTTTGTTCTCGCTCTTGCTGTGACCCCTCTCACTGTGTATGTGACCCCCCTGAATAGTACAATCAGTTCTTTTTAGGGGGAGTGATAGTCTATTAACTTTGTGGTCCCTGCTCTCCACTGGATTTTATCAACAGACTGTCTGAAGGAGGGATAAAAGATTATGGTCTAACATTCATGATGAATGTGCAATCAGGGACACCAGCCCGTTAGATTAGAATGCTGCACACATGAACACACATTATGAGAAAATTGCCTCATAAAATAATCATGAACAAAACAAGAAATATGTCTGATGAATAAGTAAATATTTACCACCCTATTCCCTTGGTTAATTAATGATTAACTGTCCTTAAACAAGTCTAATAGGAGTTAATTGAAGATACTGAGTCATTGGAAAACAGATAAAAAATCATCCATCGACAGTAAACAGGTTGCGTTCCCGCAGGCTGGAGAGAAGATAGAACCAAGAGATGTTCATACATCACTGAATTAAAGTCAGAGTCAAGGCTCAAATCTTTAAATCAGAGTCTGAGTGAAGTCTTACCTCAAGTTAAGTCAAGTCTCTGCAGAAAAAGTACAAGTGCACTTTAAAGTCTTTAACAACATGTCAAGTCTCAGCAATTGGGATTTGGACTTCATATGTGATTGCTGCCAATTACATCTTCTCATTGGGGGCATATGTTCCCCTACCTCAATATATCTCTTCTAGAAACACAATCAGAATCAAGTTTATTGGCCATTTATGTTGACACAAACAAGGAAATTTGCTGGTTCATAGCTCTCAATATAATCACATGCAATTCAAAAAGAGGAACCTAATGACATGTAGGCATTGTCATATTTTCTGATGCTGTACTTCCTGGAGTTATGTTCATATTAAAATGTACAAATGTACTATAATTCACAGTTCCTGAGTTGTAAACAGCATTATCATCAACATAGAAGTCATAATGACAATCAGTAAACGAGAAGACCGAGATTTTTCCTTCAAGGTATCCAACTCAGCACTAATAACTAACACATAAGTGCCTGAGAAGCAAACAAATGTGGGTGTCTCACATCTGCCAGTGTGCAGTTTAAGGTCATTAAACCTAAATTTAATGGAATATACATGTTATATTTTTACCCACCCACAACCAACTCTGCACTCTGCATAGTTGTCTTATGATGTGAATGCCTGCAACTAGTAAATGAGGGATCTTTGCCATCTTTATCATTGATCCCACATGATGTGCAGGTGGAATAAACTGAAGTTCCAGATACTTTCACCAGCTGTGGCAGACCTGTAAGAAATGAAAAAAGTGTACTAAAAAATATCACAACATTGGGGACAATTTATCAGCCAGCCTGAGTCACATGACAAAATAGTTTTACGAAAGCATTTAACAAACCTTTATTTATACATCAAGCAGAAAAAACGGTTGTGTTTCTGGCAACCCCACAAATGTAATGTTTAGCTCTGTTTTGGTCCCTGCCAACTCTTGATCAACTTGTCAGCTAGTTGCTAACTTTGTCTGGTTGCCAGTTGATGCTACTGTACGTTTGTTTTTCAGTTTTTTTTTGCTTCGGACAGCGACCTTTTTGCCAAAAAACGACACTATGCATGCAGTGAGAGTGAACCAAAACCATAAAGTTGCAGGTTGGAAAATCCCAAAAAATTAAAATGCTACAACCTCGTAAAGCCAATGGAAGCTGCATTGTAAATATGAAAATATTGATTATTCCTGAAACAAAAATCTTCTATATAAGAAATAGCATGTTAAACTACCGTTGACTTAAAAGCACAAGGTTCTATTTCAGCCAAAACAAAGTGGAATCTGGTTTTTGGTTCTGGATTTGAAACTAGCAGTAACCTGTTCCTCCACTTTGCAAATACCAGCTGTCAGTGGTATTAGCTTAAGGCTGGTGCTAAAGGAAGCTAAACAATCTGACCTTTCTGGATGCATTATCAAGAGTTTTGCTGAGTTGGATGGAGATGGAGTCTTTTGAATGTGTTACACGTCACACTTCTTAGCCAAAAGGCTGATTCTGAATGCTAAACTGCGTGGTATTGATCCCGTGGAGTGCCGTATGGTGATTTGACGTCACACACCTGTCTGGCAGGTGCACAGTGTGATCCATCATCAAGGATGAGGAAGAGGTTTTAAAAAATCAGAGTAACTTTAATCCACTACAGTCTTTTATTGTTCCCAATCCTTCAGCCAGCCTGAGTCATGTATACGATCAATAAAAAAAAGTCCACAGTCTATCTAGGTCTGGATCAAGTGTGATACTTGTTTCTTCCCTAATGAAGCTGAATGTCATTAAAAAACATGAATCTTTGAAAGAAGAAATGACAGCAATCTTGGTGGGAATAATCTCTACTGCTATATGATTTCCTGCTGTCCTCACGAGGGCCAACGTGATTATGTTAACAAGGAGGCCATCTGCATCATGGCAAATTACTGCACCGTGCAATGGCATAAACAAATTAAGCATAACTGTAGTGAAACACACAAAAGGATGACTAAAAAGATGTGTAACCAGGTGTTTCAGCTGAGTAACATTAATAAAGTGTATATTTTTGGCATACACACCAAACACTATGCTGGTATAAAGATTAAATTGAGTATTTGCGAGAAAAAAGAAGAACTTAGATAAAGAAGCTTGATTTGAAGAGTGTTAGTGCTTCCATGATGGTCTTTGGAGAAAGTAGTTTTCAGGTCTGGATTGGCCCGCACACAGCGAGTGCGTGTGATTGATTTCTTTGGTTTAACCCCAGGAGATGAGAAAGTTTGCATGTCTCGCTCCCTAAACCTATAAATCACATCGATCAGCCGGGATAATAAGGCCATGCCTACACATCCCTGGAGAGTGAGATGAGAAAACAATTAGAGGAGCATGGTAAACCCACACAGACACAGAGACAGAGACAAAACAAAAGAAAGACCTAGATAGATAGATAGATAGATAGATAGATAGATAGATAGACAGTAAAAACAATGAAGGCAAAGAGGAAAAATGAGGGTGATGCTCGTATGAACTGTCAAAGGTGCAGAAACAGAAAGTGCTAGGGAAAGAAATCATTAAATATAGGGCAGAACAAGTTTTGTTTCACACATATACCTTTCCCACTCCATCGCTGACATTTTCTGATAACCCTGACCTACTTATATTGACCTGTGGATATTGGAGTCATCTCAGTCTACTATATTCTGGATAGGATATGGCAGCTTGATACTCGGTGCTCACTCTGTAAGAAGAGAAAAATTTAAATCCTCTAAAAAATATTTTATTAAGTAAATGATCGTATTTTTGTAGTTTTTGCCACTCTTTAGAGTTTGTTTACTCACTGGGATCTAAGGATTTGGTAAAACTAGCACTAAATTAGCACTAAGGAAAATATACAATTTTTACCCGGATTATCCAGAACTACCTGGATACTGTAGTTGCTCCAAAGTTTTTACAATGCATGATTTACAACATTGTTGGTGAAACCGAGGACTTCTTTGGTCTTATCCTGGTTCCAGATTTCTGAACCACATTTTTCTTTTCCAGTGATTGAAATAGGTCTAGTGTCAGGTACTCACTGATGGCTGCTAGAGGAAGCACAGGCCAATCAGAGGTTTATGGGTAAACGTCATCATCCTGTCATTCTAAATGAAAATGTAGATAAGCATAATTGAGATTGACACAGCTACACAGATTGTTGTAAGATGACATACAGAAATAACAACTGTTAAATAGCCATATTTCTTTGATTGACATGAGTTGCTAGCCACTCCTATAGCAACCGCTGGCTCCGACAGCTTCTGCATTGACTGATGTGACAAGTTATGTGTGCGGGATGGACACGGCTAACATGGACACACTGAGTAACAAAGTACAAATAAGTCTCACTATGAGACTACTCAGCTCTTGTTGTTAATGAACTCCATTGTAAAGTTTTGTCTCTGGTGTGTTGCAACCTCCCCAGCAATGAAACTGAGAAGTTGAATATGTCATAATTGATAAACGCAGAGCCTCGGTCAAAATCCATAATTTCCCTAAGGCACCATTTCAGCCCAGAGCTGCATTTGTAGTTTTCATCTCATTCATGTTTAAAGGCAGCTGATTAAGACGCATGACCAACGAGATCAGAAAGCAGTTCAGATCAGAGCTGCTCATTCAAATAATTTCTTTTTCCTTTGAGTTACTGCAGATGTGGAAAGAGAGAAGATAATTAAATGACATCCCAACATGCTCTCCCATTATTCTACTGTTTCATTTTTGGTCTCGTCCACTGTGCATGGACACAGCGGTCATTCGCAGACATGCCAGATGCCCTCTGTGTGTTGTGGTTGATGGCCAAATCACTAGGGAGAATTGACAGGTGGGTAAAGTCTCTGTGAAGCATCAACAGGAAATAATGAGAGAAAACAGTGAACCAAAAAAGGGAAGAAAAACACTGGATGAAGTCTCTCCTCCCATTCTGGACCACTGGTCAATTTCATATATGAATGATTGGGAGTGAATGACAATGACAGCTTCCTAATTGTCAGCTATATCTCTCGCTTGTGACCTGTTTTGTGACTAGCTGGCGCTCTGACAGTGGCTTTTGGACTGCAGTCATGCAAACTGCCATTTGCGATTGTGACGGACATGTGCAGTGGCTGCTGGTCCTGGCTGTCTGATTTATGATTCAGCTCCTTGTTAC